CAGTCCTTGTAAAAATCTTTATCTGAACTAATTTTCACAATAGGAACTCCCTTTTCTACTGTTTTATCAGAGCATATGCATTCTTGTTGTGTAGACGTGCCACCCCCAGGGGGCGCTCAGCTTCCCTCTTCTATGGCACATCTGCAGTTGGCTTTATGGCTGAAGAAGCAGGTGGAAGTCACAGATGTGTTGATTGACAACACCTTCCTCTCAGAACAGTCTGGAGAAACCCATAGAGGAAGCCATGTGGCCAACTGGTGCTAGGCAAGCTTATTGCTAATTGCAGAAACAGTCCCCTTGCTGCCTTGGCACCTTGCCTCTTGATGTGTGGAGACTATTCAACTCGAGCACTAGCAGCAGTGGCCAGATTCGATTTACAGCCCAGGGTGTTTTCCTCTCTGACTCACTCTGTCGAACTAGGATCAGATTCCAGACACAGCTGCCCTCAGCTCCACCACCTCTGATCTCCACCATTGCTATCATCCAGTATGTTCCACGGAGCACAAACAAGTGTGTGGAACCGAGGGACGAATTAGCTGGTATTTCAAAGAACTGTGTCTGCTTGGAAAAGAGACAGTGGGCATCGCCTGTGGCACTGTACCACTTTGGTTTACAGCAGTGTAGATCCGAGAGGGAAACAGGATCTGTGCTACCCCAGCCATTCATGGCATTGGGTTGTGAGCATTCCCTTCTAGTGCATTATAAAAAAAAAAAAAAAAAAAAAAAAAAAAAAAAAAAAAAAAAAAACCTACTTTTCTGAGCTCATCATCTCCCCCTTCCCTTTCCTCTCTCCAAACCCTTCCATATGCCCCTCCTTGCTCTCCTTAAAATTCAGAGCCTCTGTTTTTCATTCTGTTGGGTGTGTGTGTGTGTGTGTGTGTGTGTGTGTGTGTGTGTGTGGTGTGTTCCTAACTACATAAATACAACCTGCTCAGTCTGTATAGTGCTACTTGTATGTATGTTTCAGGGATGACCACTGGTATTGGATAACTAATTGATATACTCTTCCCTGAAGACTATTTTCCCCACTCTCCGCATTCCAGGGCATTTTTGAGCACATGAAGGGTCCCCTCTTTGAAGTGTGAATCTATTGGCTATAGGAGTCTCATACTGTGCATACCAGAAGCGATGTGACATGGAGTATATTTCATAAACTTGTGTGAGTGCTTGGACCTTGAGTTTTGGGTGGGGAGAAAATGCAATATGGGATGCATAGAGATAGCTCCATTGTTCAGAGCTTTTACAGCTTTTTTGGAGGACTGGGGTTTGGTTGTGGGAATCCTCATCGCAGCTAACAACTGCTGTTTGTAACCCCAGCTCCAGGGGATCCAAAGCCTTCTTCTGGCACCTGAACACATGTACATATAAACTCACAGAAAAACACACACATACCCATATTAATTTTAATCTTAAAAAGGATGCAATGGAGTTTTAAGAAAGGGTCTTGTATGTCTTTGATATCAAATGTTGAGATCCTTTGTTACCCAGGCACATGCTGAGGAGTTGTTTTCTTCCTGTAACCTAACCCAAGACCCTTCCACATCCCCGTTCATGAAACAGGAGAAGGAACCAAACATGTATGTGTCACTGACCTCATGAGAAACTTCCATGGCAGGGGAGCCTTGAACACCTTCCCCCAATACCAGTAAAAGGCTTCCCCCAGAAGTGGCTTTCCTCCTGCTGTGTCATGGGAAGAGTGTGTTCGCTCTTTGCTGGTGCTTGTGGCTTTCTCGGGAAGATGAAGCTTTTTTAATAAGCCCACACTGCAGTAGGAAGACCTGGGGCTGTAGGGCAGAGGCCAGGGGATCAGACAGACCTCATTGCAGTCCTAGCTTTTCCATTCTCAACTGTTTTCAGTCCTCCTCCTCTTCAGATAACAAGACTGTTATAATCAGACGGTTGGAGTGATTGTGAGCATGAAGAGCAATGGCAGCCACTACTATTTATTAACATTCAGGTGCCATTAGGAGCTCTGACAAAAGAAATCATAAGTGATGCCATTTTACTCTAAAACAGGAAAGATGAAGAAACTGAGGTAGCATGTTGTCCCTGGTCACCCCGCAAGTGAGCAGCTGGTGTTAGCTATCAGTTATGTCTCTGTCCCACTGTAGACCTTAAGATCCTGTGAAATCCAAATGGTGCCTGATGTGGAGTTAATGCTTGCTAGCTTTTGAGTTCTTGCTTCCTTAGACACAGTCCCCTGTATTTACTGCTCAGCCTTCTACTGTTCTAGTCCACTGTGGTCCACTGAAATAGTAGGTGGAAAATTCCAAAATAAATAAACTCCGAGTTTTAAATTGCACTTTCTTCTGCATTAGATGTCTAGTGTAGTGAACTCTACCATCCTTCCAGTGCCTTAATCATTTGTTCATGCAACACATAGTGTGGTACCATAGTGCTAGAGAGAAATCACAGCCACGTAGCTTTTGCTTTTTAGATTGGGTCTTTCTGTATTGTTCAGGTGGGTCTCAGACTCCTGGGCTGAAAAGCATCCTGCTTCCTCAGCTGGGACAGTATGCATGTGCCCTGTGCCCTTTTTATATAACTTTTGTAACAATATGTTATCATCATTCTGTTTTATTGTTACTGATTTATCATTCTGTTATTGTTACTGATTGATACTTAATGTGCCTAACTTATAAATTGTTACTTTATGGGGCTGGAGATATGGCTCAGCAGTTAAGAGCACTGACTGCTTGCTCTTCCAAAGGACCTAGGTTTCATGGTAGCTCACAGTGGACTGTAACTCTAATTCCAGAAGTTCCAGATCAGGTGTGCATGTTGCAACGGACAAATATACATGCAAAACACCCATACACATAAAAAATCACAATTAAAAGAAATATAGGTGTGTGTAGGAAAAACCAGAGTGTGATTACCTGGGTTTCAGGTATTTACTGGATGTCTTGGGCCATTCCTCCAGGGTAAAAGAAGACTGTGTGGAACAGTCCAAGGGCTAAGTCTACCATAACCCAACCTCCTGAGGTTCATTTGGACAATAGTGTTTTTTTAAAAGCAATGTTTAAGCATCATATGCATGCAAATAAAGGTTATTTAAATATGTATATAAAATCACCTTAGCCCCTGGATACCTTGGAAACTAATATGATTCTACAAATATGATGTACAAGAAATATCACTGCTTTTTCTATAGTTCAAACTCAGTGCTTAACTTTGAGCCCTTGCCTGGCTCATAAGATACCCAGTGTCTGTCATTTTTATCACTTCTACCTTGTTTTCACCAATGTCCTTCATACCTCTGTCATCTTGGAGTAAAATCTTCTCTTCCTTGTATGGCACGCAGTGGAGCTTCCTTCAACTTGCCATCCTGTAAAGGGAGGGAATGTTTCACTTTCCCACTTAACTGTGCTGTTTGCAGGCTTGGAGAAAGTGTGACTGTCACACATAAGAAAGGGCTCAGAGCACCAGAAAGATGATTGATAATTGAGATACCAGCTTCAGTGTTACAAGTTTTCTTTCATGATGAACCTTCTTTCTTTCTTTCTTTCTTTCTTTCTTTCTTTCTTTCTTTCTTTCTCTCTCTCTCTCTCTCTCTCTCTCTCTCTCTCTCTCTCTCTTTTCCTTTCTTCCTTTCTTTTTTCAAGACAGGGTTTCTCTGTGTAGCCTCGACTATCCTGGAACTACCTCTGCAGACCGGTCTGCCTCTGACTCCAGAGTGCTGGGGTTAAAGGCATGGACCACCATGTCTGGTGCTCCAGTACAGATTTTAAAAGGTTTGCTGTCCTCCTCTGACGAGCATTGAGTCACTAGCCTGAGTTTTCTTTCCATGAACCGGGTGAACGCCAGCTCTCATGTTCCTGTGCTGTACATTGTTGTCCACTGCATGTAAAATTCAAACACGGCTTTGCCTAGGCAGTTTCCACACTGCAGAACTCATAGAGGATGAAAGGGCTTTATCAGATAAGTGTCATCAAAACAGGCTTTGTCTGGTCCTGGATGGAGGACAATGTCCAGTGGGAAAGGAATGGAGAACAGAGGGAGGGGAAGAGTTTCCCCCGCTGTTCTTCAAGAGCCATTTAACAACAGTTAAATGGTTACAGTGAGCCTCCTAGTCTTGAATGTACTTTTAAGAGCTGGAAAATATACTCTGATTCACTTTTTAGTGATTGGGCCACTGGGCCACTCCTCCCCACCCTTAGGCAAAGTCCTTGGAACCCTTTCTACCACTTGGAAAGATGGGTCAGGAATAATAAAAGAATTAACGCCTGGAGCAATAGCTCAGCCCTTAAGAATGTGTACTGTTCTGCAGAAGACTTAGTTAGGTTCACAGCACCCACACAGCATGGCTCACAGCATCCATAACCTCAGCTCCAGACATCTGACACTCTCTTCTTGCTTCCACAGACACCTGAATTTTACACACATAAACACACACACATACACACACACACACACACACACACACATACTGAATATACAGACACATAATTAACTTTTTAAAAAGAGAGGTAGCATTGTCCTTCCCCCCCCCCCCAACTACCAGAGAGTCTCAAAGGTAAGAGAGGTAGCATTGTCCTTTCCCCCCTAACTACCAGAGAGTCTCAAAGGTAATGAGTTTCTATGAGCACAGGGAGCTTTGCAATGGGCACATGTTTTCTTGCTAACTCTGGGCACTTTTAAAGAGGTTGGCACCTGGGATGTTTTTAAAGGAAAACTGAGGGATTTTTCATAAGTTATTTTGAAGCAACAGTCCTTGGCTACCGAGATGAGTAACAGGAACAGAACCAGTCCAAGGCTGACATTTACTGGATGGATGTTTTTTCGGGAGTATTCTTGTGTAAGGTCACAATAACCTTGCCCCACCCCCAAGACTGTGGTCCTGAGCTTGTTCTCATCATGTGTGGCATGTGTGTATGAGCGTCCCCTCCTTCATAGCCTCAGCTGCACCGATTATGTTTTTTTGTCTATTAGGACTTGACACAAGTGACTCCATTTTGATATCTTTAGTGCACTCATGCCCAGGCTTATCTGTGTTTCAGACAATGGTGGGCAGACTCTGTCTGGGGGCAACAACTGGCCGCTTCGAGGAAGGAAATGGACCCTGTGGGAAGGAGGCATCCGTGGAGTGGGCTTTGTGGCAAGCCCCTTGCTGAAACAAAAAGGCGTGAAGAGCCGGGAGCTCATCCACATCTCGGATTGGCTCCCGACACTGGTGAATCTGGCTGGCGGAAGCACCTATGGGACCAAGCCTCTGGATGGCTTCGATGTGTGGAGAACCATCAGGTACCTGCATGTCTCTCCCCACTCTCTGCCAGCAAATTAATATGGTTAATGGAGAATAATCATTTCCCTTTGTAAGATGACAGTTCAGCTGAGACATACATGACCACCCCCTTATAAAAAGAAATGAAATGCCTTTCAGATATTGTCATTACGTGTATTTTTAAATATTACATTTGGGATTTTGGTTCTGTGTTTTATACAAAGGACAGGATTCTCCTGTAGAAGGTCTTTAAGGCTGAGAAGATTTTCTTGGTGCAGGATAGAGCATGGCTGGCCTCCTGCAGGATGTCCAGGCTTCTACCCTATTGCCATCTAGAAAAATGGAGGACTCAATGGAAAGGAAAGCATGGGATAGGAGCCTGGAGACACTGTACAGTCTATAGAACTAAGCTTAGGCCCACTCACTAGTAAGTATTTTATGAGTACCTACTACATAATGCTCTGTCCTAGGTTCTGGAAAATTAGAAGTAAACAACTCAGGCAAAACCCTGGCTCTCAAGAAGCTTGTGTTGTGGCAGGGGTGAGGAATCAAGATATTGAACCAGGAAAAGATAATTTCAGGTCCTTTAGGAGGAGATAAGAAGTGTGAAGGAGATAAATGGTGTATTCTGAGAGTGAGGGACACCGTGCAGGAGCAGGACCTGTCCTTAGCTGTAGAGATGGCAGCCGTCCTGCCTGTTTCTCTCCCACAGTGTGAAAATGTGACCTGTGAGGAAAGGAGGCACATGCCCTGGGGGATGGGAAGTGCTTCCTTGGCGTATGGGTTGGAAACCTTGTGTGCGGTATCTGTGTTCAGCATATTTTATAACATATATATCTGTGGTTTGCTACCTAGATCTAGTTTATACATAAAATTACATATATCAGAAATACAAACAGTACTTCAGTAAAAACATTACTGAAGCAACAAAATGGATAGTACTGTGTTTCTCAAGCTAATCGGTGTAACAAGCTCTGTTTGGGGGTGGCTGATTGAGTGTCCTCCTTGTGAACCACTGCATATTTTTCTTTTTTTCATCTATGATTTTCCAAGTTCAAAATAGTCATGTTTCAGGTTTCTACTCAAAGGAAACACACAGCAGAGGACTCAGGGGTGAAGAGCCATGATGTACATGGTTCATTAAAAGATTGTGTATATGTGTGACTATTGGGGCAGGGGACTCCAACAGACTCCAGTATAAGCAATATGAGAAGATGGGTAAGGAGCATAGATGTTCTTTTACACTGATTTTTATAAATTTTTATGAATTTGAAATTATTTCCAAATAAATTTTTAAATATAAAGGTCTGGTGATATTTGGCGTACATTTCTATGACTAAGCATATCTGAATGGATCAGATCATGGCAGTCTTACTTACATGAGTTTCTGACTCTCCCAAGTCACCTGTCTCCAGTGCTCCTAGCTGACCGCTGGCCTCTGTACTCACTGGTGACACCTACCCAGTCCCTAGTTGGTAATCCAAAGTTATAGTGCCAACAATCTTCACGTACACTAATTGAACCTACCCCTGACTACTGGGCATATAGCTTATTTCATTTCTTTTTCCCCTTTGTTTTTCTTTTCTTTCTTTTCTTTCTTTTTCCTTTCTTTTTTCCTCCCTTCCTTCCATCCTTCCTTCCTTACTTCCTTCCTTCCTTCCTTCCTTCCTTCTTTCTTCTTTTTGAGAAAGTGTTTCTCTCTTTAGCCCTTGGCTGTCCTATAACTTACTCTGTAGACCAGACTGGCCTCAAACTCACAGAGATCCACTTGCGTCTGCCTACCAAGTGCTCAGATTAAAGGCATGCATCACCACCATCCAACTATTTATTTTCTTTTTAATATTCCTGTTTTTTCTATAATCATTCTAATATTTAAGAACTAGGGAAGTGAGATATCTCAGGAGATAAAGGTGTTAGCTGCACTGACAACCTGAGTTTGATCCCCTCCACCCATATGTTACGAAGAGAAAACCAATTCCCATAAGTTGTCCTCCTCCAACATGCACACACACACACACACACACACACACACACACACACACACACAC